AGTGGCATCATTTCCCTCGGGCATAGATATAACTTATTTCAGCTTCGGCATGTGGCTTCTGTTAAGCAGAATGACCACTATGGCCCTAGCCTCCACCTGCTGCCTCCCAAGCTGGTCTGGGGGCCTGGGAAATTTCCCAACCTTTCTCAAGTTCTGCCAGCAGCCAGGGGCACTGTAGGGCACAGTGAGTGAGGAGAGCAAACCTTGCACAGTCCCTTTCAGCATTAGGAGGTCGATCCTCTGATCCTCCTTTGAAGATTCAGAAGGCATTTTGACATCGTGTTGGGCCAAAGGACTATCTTTCTGAATAGCAGTAACGTCCAAATGTGTCCAAGCACCAGCTGGTCAGAAACACTCAGAAACAGGGTCTCAGAGCTGGAAGGGACCTTAACCTCTTCTAGTCCAGTCCATCTATTTTATAGCTGAGACTTACCTAAAGTTATGCAAGTAGTAGCATTAGAGGAGTTTTGAACCCAGACCCTTTGACTCCAGAGTCAGGGCACTTACAACTGCCCTTTGCTATGCTGCCTTGGTCAGTCATCTGGCCCCAGGCTTCTCTCATCCTCTTCTATGTGTCAGCCAAGCTGGACTCCTCTCTGGTCTGAGGCCTTTGCCTACCCTGGCCAACCATCATTGCTCAAAGTCCTGGGTTCGAATCCTAGCTCTTCCAAGGCCACAGGTGGCCAGTGGACACAGTGCTAGGCCTGCAACTAGGAAGACCTGACTCCTGAGTTCAAATCCAGCCTCAGACATTTACTGGCAAATCAGTTAGCTTTTGCCTGCCTTAGTTTCCTCAATTGTAATAATAGCACCTACTTCACAGGGTTGTTGTGAGGACTGAATGAGATAATATTGCAAAAAAGCACTTAGCCCACATAGCAGGTACTCTATGAAAGCTTCTTCCCTTCCCTCCCCCTGCTTGCTGCCCACGTGACCTTTGGCAATTCTCTTAACTTCCCTGGGCTTCAGTTGCCTCATCTGGAAAAAGGGGCTGGATGAGATGAGCTCTAAGGTCCCTTCCATTTCAACTGCTATGGGGCAGCTAAGTGGTGCAATGTGTAGAGCATGGGACCTGCAGTCAGGAGGACCTGAGTTCAAATCAGGCCTTAGACACATAAAACACTTACTAGCTGTGTGACCCTGGACAAGTCACTTAACCCCAATTGCCTCACCAAAAATAAATAAATAAAAATAAAAACCAATTCAACTGCTATATCCTAAAGGATGTTTTAAAAACTGTAGCTCTAGTCCAATCTCCTTATTTTACAGATGAGGCAACTGAGGACCAGAGAAACAAAGTGACTTTCCCAAGGTCAAACAGTCAATGGCAAGGCTGGGATTTGAACTCGGGTCTCCTGATTCCAAATCCAGAGCCCTTTCCTCTCTCAGGTACTAATCTCTCTGTTTTTGCTGTTAACACTTGCGATTATTTCTCACTCCTCTGGGCCCAGGGCAACTGGGACAACACTGAGCCAGCATGGAGGCCCAGAGATGTCCCGATGACTTCACTGCAGAGTCCCAAAGGGAGTGAAGGGTCAGGGTTGAGAGCCCGAGTCCAGGACTCCTGGTTCCCAGCCTCTAGTCTCCCTGCATTCCTACCTCCCTCCAACCATTGTAGCTCATTGCTTAGTAAGACACACCCATCTGGCTAACCCAGCTGAGCTCTACAGAAACCCGAGCTGAGGAATGCCAGCCAGCTCAGCAGTTACCAAATCCCTGGCTTGGAAAGGTCCTTCTCGGGGCATTTGGGCCATCCCCCTGCCTCTGAGAATAGCTCTGCCTAGCTGAATGGGGACGGCTCTCCAGGGAGGACCATAAGCAAACACCGTTCCCTCTCATCAGCAGACAGACCTACAAAATGCTACGCTGGAATGCAATGTCATGTTATTATAATGACCAGGATGGGCTCCAAAGAAAAGCTGAAGAAATATACTTCCTGCCCTTCTTTGCAGAGGTGGGGGGGTCTATAGGTGTGGAATGTTGCATATAGTGTCAGATTCTATTGGGGTATTGGCTAGTTTTACCAAACTGTTTTTAACTCTTTCTTTCTTTTCCTTTTTTTTCTTCCTTCCTTCCTTTCTTCCTCTCATTATTCCTTCCTTCCCTCCCTCCCTTCACTCCCTTCTTTCTTTCTTTTTTTAAAGGAGGGATAGGTCATTGGATAGGGCCAGGAGCAGTGATGTATTTGAGAAACAAAGATGATGTAAAAACAAAAGATGTTTTGTTTTTTCAATGAAAGCAATGTTATCCTGGGTCAGGCAACCTTGGACCATGCAGCCCAGACTTCTCACATCAAAACTATCTGGTGAGGGGCGACTGATGCCTGATTCCCAGGAATCAACTTTAGAAGGTTAGACAGAGTCACCTCAGAAGGATTCAGGACTGTGAGAAACCACAGAGATCCTCTAGACCCACAAGGGGGAGGGGAGTTGTGGATTATAAACTTCGGGTGGGGGGTCTATGAATTTGTATAGAACAAAGTTGCATCTTTGTTTTCACTTATCTAAAACTGAAATTGTTATTTCTTTGCTTATTTAAACAATGATTCTGAAGAAAGGTCCATCGGCTTTCCCAGACCACTGGCCAAGGAACCTATGATCCATACATACAAAGAGAGAACCAAACCTCTAGTACATTTACAGTATCACACAACTATAAAAAGTCAGGGTTAGAAGGAGCCTGAGAAACCTTCTAGACCAAGAGTTCTTCACCTCTTTTATGTCATGGACCTCCCCCTCTTTGGCAGCTGACAGCACCTATGGACCCCCATGGACCCCCATGAACTCTGCAGGCAGTCTGCCAAACCCCATGGACCTGTTAGGACCCCTCAGGCAGCCTGACGAACCCTGTGTAGGAAGCCCAGGGATCCCTGTGGACCCCTGGGGCATCCTGACAAAGCCCCATGGACCCTCGGGGACCCCGTGGGCAGTCTGGTGAAGCCTATGAACCCTGTATTAAAATAACGGTTTTAAATAATTGAAGGGAATGGTAAATTTCAGTAAAGGTTGCTGAAAATAAAGATGCCATTTTTTCTCATACAAGTTTATGGATTCCCTGAAATCCACATGGACCCCAAGTTAAGAACCCCTAATTTAGTCCAAACACCTCATTTTACAGAGGAAGAAACAGACTCAGAGAGGGGAAGGGATTTATTCCCCTAAGAACTGGGATTATTCATGGAGCCAGAACAGCACAATTAGGGGAGGGGGGGAGGTTTGCCTGCCATTGCTGGGCCAGGAGGACCTATCTGCTACCTACTGGAATATAACGATAACCCTGTTAGCACTTCCACCTCCCAGAGGAAGCGCAGGGAACAGCAGACAAATCACATCAGCGTGGATTAGACAGAGCATCATCAGAAGCAGCAGCCTGGATTTCTCCTGCAGGCTCTGGTTGGGGCTTTGGGACCAAAAGGCATGAAGTGAGAGCTCAGAGGACAGACAGGCAGCTCCTCACCGTAAGATACAGCATTGGGCAGAGAAGTCCAGACAGATGTCTAGTTCCTAAGAACTAGCATGGAGCTGAGCTCTGGTCTCCAGTGCCATTCCCTGTCAGGAAACCTGCCTCTAAACAGAACTCACCGTTCTCCCTGCCTTTTCAGACTTTCCCTTTGCTGGCCGGAGCCACAGAATGTTAGACCTGGGAGGGGACTCAGATCACCTGGTCCAAAGTCTCCTTATAGACAGAGAAGTGGACAACAAAAGCCCAGAGAGGGGAAGGGATTTGAACTGAGGTCACCCAGCACAGCCAGACTCCAGATCTCCTGACTCCAAGCAAGGGTTCTTTCTACTGTGCCACATGCTCTGGGTGAATGAAGATTACACTTTTTGAGGGCTACAAGGTAGCTAAGGGCCAGTACTAGAGAAGGTGATTTTGTGCAGATTTTGTCCTTCAAAGTAGTAGTCTGTGTGTGTGTGTGTGTGTGTGTGTGTGTGTGTGACAGAGAGAGAGACAGAGAGACAGAGACAGAGAGACAGAGAGAGAGAGAGAAAATGTTCAAAGGGCAGGCTCAGAGCCCCACACAGTTAGAGGGAGGCTATGTGGCTGCTCACAGTTCCATCTATCCCATTTCTTTCTCACCAGCATCCTGTCTTCCTCCCTCTCTCTAGCATAGCCTAGGGGGCAGTGAAGTCCAGCTCTCCCAGCTTCCAGCCTCCAGTGCTGGCTGCTTCCAGCATGTGTATAAGTGGGTACAGGTGTGCAGGCTGGAGACCTGACCTGTGATCCCCTCAGGCACGGGAGGCCCCCTCCCCAAATGCCTTCTGCTGGCTATGCTGAAACTAGGGGAGAAGCAGAGGGAGAAAACGGAGCCCAGAGACCAGGAGGGCCCAGGGTTGCACCAAGTGATGAGGACTCCCCGGGCTGTCCGGTTCCTTGGTCTCCAACCCCTAACCAAGCGCCCTTCCCTGGGCCCAGGAGAATCCTAGGGATCAGTGTGGACAAAAACCCTGCCCTCCCCCATCCAAATCCTCCCCACTCTCTGCCTGCCCTAACCTCACGTTCCTCATCTAAGTAGCCCTCCCTCCTTAACACATCCAGCCCCCCGATACAGGAGAGAACACAGATCCCCGACTGAGCCATCTGGGATCCCCGCCCCCCACCCCAAGTCCTGCGCCCCTCTACGAGAGGCGCCAAAAACGACAGCGGCAAGCCTGGGCAATCCCCCTGGAGAGGGCGCAGCCCAGTCCCCGCGCCTGCCTCGGAGGGCAGCCAGGCCAGCGGGAAAGGGCGAAAGCAGAGTCTGCGGGGATCCCGCGGCCCCCCGCCCCCCGCCCCCGCCTTCAGGCTGCCCTAGCAGGGGACCACGCGAACGTCAACCGCCAGCATATCAGATCGGTGAACGGGATACCTGTGACCCTGCCCGGCCCCCTCCGCGGGGCTCCCCCGTGCGCTCCCCAGGCCTCCCCCCCCGCCCCCTCCTCCGTGTTCCCACGCGCCCCCTCCTCGAGCCCCCCCCCGGGTGTCCCTCCCATGACCCCCCGACCCCCCGGGGCTCTCACCTGGCGCAGGTGGCGGAGCAGCTCGCCGGCCTCTTCCTGGCGGCCCTGGCGCACCAGCGACAGCAGCTCCTGGATCATGCCCACCCGCCGGTGGTAGGGGGGCAGGCCGACCCCGGCCCCGGACGCGGAGCCGGCGCGGGCCGCCTTGTCCCCGGAGCGCAGCAGCAGCGCCGCCCACAACTCGCCTCGCTCGCGGGCCGAGCTCCGGCGGCGGGGGGCGGCCGGGGCCGGGGCCGGGGCCGGGGCGGCGGCGGGGGGCGCGCCGGGGCTCTCGGCCAGGCTGCCTTTGGTCTGCCGGGTGCCCATGCCTCCGCCGCGCCTCAGCGCCGGGCCGCCGCCGGCTGCTCCATCCTCAGGCTCGGCTCCGCTCTGCTGCTGCTGCTGCTGCTGCTGCCGCTGCCGCTCCTCCCCCTCGGTTCCTCGGCCCCTCGGCCCGGCTCGTCTCGGGCTCTCCCCAGCGACTCGGTGCCACGAGCCGGGCCGCGGGTCCCGCCCTCCCCCGCCCCCCGGCCGCGCGCCACCCGCTGCCCACGAGCCCAGCCCAGCCCCGGCCGCCGCCGCCGCCGCCGCCGCCGCCGCCGGGGCCGCAACTTTGGGGAAACTGTTGCACGCGGGCGGGGCCGCGGAGGGAGGGGAGGAGAGGAGAGGGGAGGGGAGGGGGCGGGCGGGGCTCGGGCTGCCCGAGGCCCCGCCCCCGGCAAACCACGCCCCTCGCCCCGCCCCTCCCGGGCTGGGGCCCCACGCGTGAGTGAGCTCTCCGGCCCCACGCCGCCGCTGCTGCTGCCGGCGGCGGCACCTCGCGGTCCCCTCCCCCAGCGCAGAGGAGGCGGGGCGTGGGCCCGCCCCCCCCCCAGGGCTCACCGGCGGCCCTGCGCCCAGGGGCTGCCCAGGGCGGGTGGCTGATGCCTCGGCTGCTGCGGGCCGGGCTGGGCAGAGAGCCACCCCCGGTCCACCTAGCTCCCCGCTCTTCCTCCTCCTCCTCCTCCTCCTCCTCGGCCAGCCCAGCGTTGCCGCTCCCTCTGCTGGCGGCCGAGCTGCCAGAGCGAGGGGCGGGGTCTGGGGGGCTTCCCGGCTCGGAGGGGGCTGGCTCAGACCCGAGTGGGGACTGCAGGCTCCGCCCCAGCCGAGCGCCTTTCGCTCTCCTCCCCTCTGCTGTGGCGGCGCCAGGCGCCCGGTTCTTAGCTTGGGGGGGGGGGCAGAGCCGCTCTAATCCTATCCCCTCCCCCGGCACCGGGCACATCCAGTCGTTGCTTCAAGAGCCTGGTCTCACTAGACCCTCGGTGTTCTCTTCCTTGCTCCCCACTGCGGAGGTTATTCGCTGGGGGGCGGGGGGGGGGTGAATGGCGAGGAGAAAGAGAAGGCTGAATCCTCCAGTGGCAAAGGCCTCCCTCGGCTATGGGACAGAGGGCATTGGCTGGTCTAATCCTCTCTTCTCCGCTGACCACTGACCTTTCCCTTAACCACATCGACCCCAACCCATAGCCAAACCCTGGGTCAAATTCAGGCTGTTGGACTGATCCCTCGCGTCAGTTCCCGCTCTGAGATCTCTGTTTAGGGGGAAACAAGGAAGCGGCACCGGGAAACAGCAAAGGCACATTTTGTGAAGTACCCCGTTTCCTAGCCTTGGTCGCCTCTCATCTCCTCCAGAAAAGCCTTCTCTCCTTGCAACCCCTGCCCAGCATTACTCACCCATTCCATTAGCCACATGACCTACTTAGCTTGGTTGGGGGGGTGGGGGTGGGTTCCGAAAGTGGTCTCCGGCTCTATCCATGCCTCCCCTGCCGCATCCCACTAGATCCTTCCCTGGGATGGGGACAATGTCTCCCCCATTAGACCTGTGAGCCAGCCACATCCTGACTCCCATTTCTTTTCTATTCCTTTATACCCTTCTAAACACACACACAGGACATAGTCACACACACACACACACACACACACACACACACACACACAGAATTGCTGGTAGTATTCCTGTATGACCTTGGGAAGAGCCACTTTGTCTTTCTAAGCCTTAGGCCTCAGTTTCCTCACCTGTAAATTGAAAGGATGACCTTCAATTTCCCTCCCTACTCAAAAGCTAAATCTATGCTCCCAGCCCACACTCTGGGGAAAAGTGGGGGCTTAGCTAATGCTGATGGATCCACTGCATTGGTCCCATACCTCATCAGGCAAGTGACTGAAGCACCCGTTAGAGGAAGACTAAGAAGGCCGGGGAGGTAGCCCACCTTCCTCAGGGAAGAGTCTGCTCAGTCAGGTAGGGAAAGCTCCTATTTCAGTAAGAAACTTTTTTGTGTGTAGAAACCTATCAGAACCATAAATCGTCAGAGGTCAGAACATATCTAGTTCGAGACCCTCTTTTAGTGGGAAACTGAGGTCAAAGCAGGTGAAGGGACTTACTTTCCCAAGGTCACACGTGCTTTTAGATCAGAGACTCCTCTTATCTAAGAAGCCTTACCTGTGGCTAGCAGCTTCCCCTGAAATTACTTTGTATATGTTGTATCTCTCCTCCCTAGAGTGTAATTTCTTTAAGGTCAGGAATTATTTTACTGCCTGTGTGTACCCATTGTCTGACAGAGTGCCTGGCAAACTGTAGGTGCTTAATAAATGATTGTTGATTAATAGGGATTCAAAGCCAGATTTCCTGGCTCTCGATCAATGCTCTATAAATCGTCTCAACCTTCTGGACCTCGGGTTCACCTCTAAGGTCCTTTCTAGTTCTAAATCTGTGTCCTCCTGTGCCACCGTGCCTGGAGTAAGTGCCCACAGCTAAGGATAAATCCCCTCTAACATCCTTTCTCCACCCACTCTATACAAGTCCAAGAGGCCAAAACAAATAAACAGAAAGACTTGAGATTCCCCTTCCCTGGCATCCTTCCCATAGCCTCTCCCTTTTTCTATCATTAGTCAGTCAACAAACATTTCCTAAAAGCCTAATATGTGCCAGGCACTGTGCTAAGCACTGGGAATACAGAGGGAAAATAGTGCCTGTCCTCAAGGATCTGACACTCTAGTGGAGGACTTTTTAAAAGAGGGAAGAGAGTGACATTGGCCAACACACCCAGGGCAGGGGCAGACCAAGACTGAGCCCCTCATGCAGGGGCTCTGCGGTGTTCTGGGAGTTCTGCACCCCTTCCAGGGCAGTCTGGGGAAGTCAATGGACTCCTTCTCAGAAACACATTTTCAAATGCATAAAATAAGAAATGGAATCACAAAGGAAAGCAATGATATTGAAATAGTTATAAAAATGTTTTAGACCAAAATCAAGTTCACAGATACCAGGTTAAGCTCTTTGGATTTGGGCCAGGAAATGGACATGAGGTTGATGGGAGAGATTCTCTCCCTCCCTCCCTCCCTCCCTCTCTCCCAGACCCTCTGGAAGCCGCTCCCTCCTGATGGCTCATTAAGGTTGAGGGAGAGGACGGAAACATTCCTAGGCTCTGGGGAGGGCTGAGAGCCACAGCTGCTGCCTGCATTGCTGAGGAAACCATCCCCAGGGGGAAGGAGGGATGTCAGGAAAGGGAAAAACAACTCAAGGCCCCTTGTCCTTTAGCCCATTTCCAGTGTGGGAAGGAGGAGTTCCTGTTCACTAGAGGCTCACCTTCCTGGAAAAGACATCTGGGGAGACCTGGGACCCAACCCAGGCTGGGCAAAAGAAGGCTGATCTCAGCTTGTTTCAGCTCTTCCTCCTTGGCCTCTTGTGACACCCCTGAGCACCTCACCATGAGAAGGGACTTGCCCAAGGTCACACACATCTAGGGAGCTACTTGATTAGCCCTGTGACCTTGGACTTGTCTGTCACCTGACCCCAGCCATCCTCCCCTGTCAAACCACGTTGGACTAAAGAGAGAGTTCCCAATATCCCTCCTTGCTACAAATTGAATGCCTATTGCCTCCAACCAAAGAAGAGCTTTCTTGTTAAGGGAAAGGGAAATACAGATTAGAAAGTCAGAAGAGGAAAAAGCTGCCACCCCATTCTGACACTAGCTACTTACCAGGCTGAAAGATGGGAGGGGAGGGGCAGGGAAATTCAGAGAGACAGAGAGGCGGGATTCAGAGAGACAGAGATAGGCAGAGAGGCAGAGACAGAGGGAGAGGGAGTGGGAGAGGGAGAGAGGGAGGGAGAAACAGACACAGAGGAAGACAGAGACAAAGAGAGACAGAGAGATCGTCTCATAACCAGTGGGCATGAACTACATATGTCCAAATATACAATAATTTTATAAGCCGTAGGATCCATAGCAGGAAGGGACTTCAGAGGTCATCTAATGCAACCCCCTCATTTTACAGGTAAGGAAACTGAGGCCCAGAGAGTGAAGTGATTTGCTCAAAGTTACACAGGCAGTAAGTACCATAAGCAGGATTTGAACCCAGATCCTCTGATTCTCCAGCCAATGTGTCTCCGTGTTGTTCCCACCTCTCTATTAGCATGTGAGCTCCCTGAGGGCAAATACTATTTCATTTTCATCCCCAGTGCTTGGCAAATCACTGGCACTTGTTGATTGATAGATCAATTATCAGTGCCACTGACATTCTCTTTCTTCAGTCCTTCTGGAAGGACCCTCAGAGGTCAGGTGGTCCCTCCTTCCCATTTGACAGATGAGGAAATCATTGAGGCCCACAGAGAGAAAGTGACCTGTTTGAGGTTGAAAGGCTAGTGAGTATCAGAAACAGAATCTGAATCAGAAATATGCTGGAACCAGCTCCATCCAGGTTTGTGAGAGCTGAGTGTTAAATTTTCAGTGTGAGCACTTACACCTCAGAAATTGACAAAGATTATGAATTACTGCTTTTAAAAAATTGTTTAGACTTAAGAAAGTGATGGAGAAAATGTTGGTGGTTTAGATTAAACTTAAAAGTGTCTGCACATTTCCCGTTTCCCCACCCCCACCAAGATCTGATTGTTAAATAGCACATTGCTGATGGAAATCCAGGTTTTCCTGAGTTCAATTCCAGAACATCTACTGAAGCTCTTCTGAAGGGGGGTGTCAGGGGTCGGGAGGCATGCTCTTGTTGGCTTTATTTGTAGTTTAGTTGTAACCCATCAGGCCAAGGCCCCTCCTCTCCACACACTCACTCCAGGCTTCAAATGGGATGTCTCCATAAGGGCAGGCATTCCCCACAGCTCATTTCCTGGGGGCACTGAGGTGCTTTCACTCCTGTCTGTCCACTCCCCAGCTTATCCCCTCTAATGAGGGGCTCTCCAGTTATCTCTGCTAGGGAAGATTAAGCAGGTCCCTACAAGGAGAATGCTTTCTCCTTCGAGCTTTCCTTCCTCCTCCTCCTTCTCCTCCTCCTCCTCCTTCTTT